CCTGCTGGTCTGTTGGGGTGTCGACTGGGTTCATGGTAGAGATTTGTTCATTGAAGGTATATACATAACTCCTTCAATGCCCAACTCATAGTTCTAAGAAACAACCTCTATTTGATTCTGCTTATTGACTCAGAACCTACATACTTAGAATTAATCTACAGTTGTCTTAGTGAGTTTGTTTCCTGGAGTGGTAGCTATCCTGTTGGTTGTTGAGTGTTTTAGTTACCTCTAGTGCCGCTCTAGGAGCTCTGGTAGCGTGGTGCCTAAGGCACTTGACTGCTAACCAGAAGGCTGGCGGTTCAAACCCACCAGCCACTCTTCGGAAGGAAGGTTGGGCAATCTACTTCCGTAGGGATACTGCCTCAGAAACCCAAGGAGGAGTCATTAGGAGTTTGGTCCGACTCGACAGCACATAACAACAGTGCCTCTCTAACGGAAGTTACCACAGATGGATAGCTTTAACAAACAGGAGTTTATTCTCTTACCATTTTGGAGGCTAGAAGTCTGAGTTCAAAGTGCCAAGCTCTAGGGGCTGGGTGAAAGCCCCTCAACCTTGGGCTTCATCTCTGCCTCTTGCTCCCAGCCCACTGAATCTCACTGCTGGCTGCTGAGGCTAACAAGCCCAAGGTCGAGAAATAAAATGGCACAGTCCCAATATTACCAAACAACACAGCAGACACTAGTTCGAGTCCAGAGACAGTCCCAAGATCAGCAGGAAACATGGCAGGCTGCTAAAGGAAGACTCAGCTACGTGCAGGGTTCAAGCATGCCAAATGATGCAGACCTTTCTCACTGCTTCTCCTTATATACTGGAAGCCAACTGCATCCCTTAGGCAGGTAGCTACTCAGCTATTTCAGTAGATTCTACCATGGAGTTGATTACCAGTCTCACCATGGGGAATAACTATATCCAGCTGCCCAGCCACTCAACCAGGCCCAGTCAAGTTGACACATCACCTTAACTACTACAATTCCACCCCTTGTCAACCTGACACTTGTACAGATAGATCTTCACTGGGTAGCATATGTGCAGATTTCCTTTACTGGGTGGCTCCAGTCCCCTAATTCATCTGAGTGGCAGCCTCACCCCCTTGGCTTGGGAGGTCCCATTCCTCAACCTCTTGGTCATGGCAGATCTGCTTTCTCACTTTTGGGCAGTGGCTATGACCCCATCTTACTGGCCCACGTGAATGAGCAGTCTCATACTCCAGAACCAAGTTGATGAAGGTCTGACTCTTTGAAACCTAGGAGGCTCTGGTTGTTCCACCCCCAGAGGCCATGGTCCTACCCCTTTAGGCTGAGCAGCTCTGCTTCTGTTTCCTTAGTCTCTCTGCTTCTGCCATTAATGCCAAAGGCAACCCACTTCACCAGAAATCTTCCTACCCTCAAAGCATTCAGCTTTCTTGCTCCCTGGGCCAGCCAACCTGCTGCTCCATTTCATGCTGATATCTTCTATCAATTAATGCCCAAAGGCAACTCACTCTGCTAGGAAGCCGCCTACCCGATGGAATTTCTTCTCTGTGGGCTGGTAAGCCTATTGCTGTCTAATGCCGGTCTCTCAGCTCTGCTACTGCTGTCTCTCTGCTGGAGTCTTGCTGCTGTGGTATTGGTGCAGGGATCTCCAGTCTAGGATGTACTCCACTCCTATTTCCACATTTTAGGTATCTGTCAGAGCAGCACCTCACTCTCTCGGCACCATATTCTGTTTGGTTACCTCCAGTGCCTTTCTAAGAGAAGATAACACAAGTGGGTGGCTTTAACAAACAGCAATTTATTCTCTTACCGTTTTGGAGGCTAGAGAGGCTAGACGTCTTGAGTTCAAAGCACCAAACTCTAGGGGCTGGGTGAAAGCCCCTTGACCTTGGGCTTCAGCTCTGCCTCTTGGTCCCAGCCCATTGAAGTGTCTCTTCACTCAGGCAGCTGCTGGCTGCTGAGGCTAACAAGCCCGAGGTTGACACATAAAATGGCACAGTCCTAATATTATCAAACAACACAACAAAGTACTAGTTCAAATCCAGACACAACCCCAAGATTGGTAGGAAACCTGGCAGGCTACTAAATGAAGACTCAGCTACATGCAGGGTCATGCATGCCTAAAGCTGCAGACCTTTCTCAATGCTTCTCCTTATACACTGGAAACAGACCACATCCTTAAGGCAGCTACTCAGCTGCTCCAGTAGATTCCACCATGGAGCTGATTACCAATCTCACCATAGGGAGTAACTACATCTAGCTGCCCAGCCTCTCAACCAGGCCCAGCCAAGTTGACACATAACCTTAACTACCACATTCAGTCACTCCACCTAAGAAATAAGAGGTTGGAACTGTGTTTTAGGATGCTGTGTGGTCAGTCCTGTGCACACTGTTAATATATGCAATAACTGCCAGCTGAAAATAGTAACAGTTTAGGCTATTTTTTTTTTTTTTTTTGACAATTGAAAAGCATTCTTCAGGTTAACAAGCAGTTTACAAAATGGGAAATAGAATGAATAATATTAATAAAGTGGACAGTGTTCAATCCAGGAAATGCACAGTGAGATGAGATACCACTTTTTTTTTTCCCCCCACTTTTAAATGAACAGAATATTTGATATATGTGAAATTCCAGTATTGGCAAGGGTGAAGGGAAACTAATACTTTGCCATTGGTGTGTAAATTGAAACATGTTTTTGAAAACAATTTGTTAGTAGGTATTATGTCATCAAACTGTTCTCATTCTTTGATTTGTTACTCCTACTTTTAGGAATTTAGTCTAAGGAAAAATCCAGAATATGGAAAAACCAATCTGCATGAAGATGTTCCTTGTAGCATTATTTATAGTAGCAAAAGTGTGGAAAAATCTAAATGTCTGAAATAAGGAAGACATAACAATGGTGGATGATTCACTCAGAATGTTATGTAGCTGGAAATGAGGCTCAGGAGGTGGGGCTTTATGTATTGATATGGCAAGAGAGCAATTAAAAAAGATAAGATGGAGGGAATAAGTACAACATGATTCATTTCTGGGTGTGCATAGTTAAAAGATAAAAAATTGACAGAGTATAAAAATTTTCTGGAAAAATAGATAAGAGGGGGAAATAGGATAGGACTAGGTGGAAGAAAGAGGCAATAAACTTAAATTATATCCTCTATAGTGGTTGAGTTTTCTTTTCTTTTTTACATTGTGCATTATCCTAAAACAAAAAAAAAATTAAAGATGTCTATAAAAACTATAAGGAGCCTTGATGGCTGCAAAAAGGATGTGGGGGCAGCATCTTCTGACCTCCTCCAATTTCACGGGAGTCACCACCTGCAGCTCAAGGCTTACTCCTATGAGGCCAGACATGCAGTCACCCTTCAGACTTTCTGCCAGCTCTGACACCAACTGACCCTCCCAGAGCACTCTGGGTTTGTTTCAGTGGCCACACAGAACTCACAAACGATACTCACAATCATGGGGTTTATTAGGGAAGTAACAGGCTACAGTTCACATTCAGGAACACCCAGGGTACAGTTCTTCAATCAGGACAGCCTCCCCTTGGCCATGCCCTCAGGCAAGCCTCTCTTTGGCTCTTGACCTCTCCCCCTGACCTCTGACCTTCTTGGGCAAGCTCTTTTAGCTCTGCCAGTAGGTGCTCTGGGAGCTCTGGTAGTATAGTGCCTAAAGCACTTGACTGCTAACCAGAAGGCTGGCAGTTTAAACCCACCAGCCACTCATTGGAAGGAAGATGGGACAATCTATTTCCGTAGTGATACTACCTTGGAAACCCACGGAGGGGTCACTATGAGTCGGGTCCGACTTGATGGCACATAACAACAATAGATGAACCTACATATATCCCATTCTACCAGCAAGCCTCCTGCCCACAGGTGCACAGCTTTCTTGCTCCATGGGCAGGCAAGACCACCACTTGTGCTTCTTGGTTGCACAGCTGCTGCCGTCTCTGCGGGTCATCTCAGCCAGTCATCTCTGCATCTCTGCCAAGGAGGTCGAGCTCAGAGATCTCAGGTCCAAGGATTTGCTGCACTCTCTCTCCAGCTCTTCTCTCTTGATGGCAGTGAGCTCCCTGTTTCTGTCTCATTTTTGTTGTTGTTGTTATGTGCCGTTGAGTCAGACCTGATTCATAGCGACCCCTCCTTGGGTTTCCGAGGCAGTATCATTACGGAAGTAGATTGACCCTCTTCCTTCCGAGGAGGCTCATTTTAAGCCCAGTAGTATAGCAAAATTAGAGTTCCATATATTTTATTTGCATGGTCCCACCCCCACAAGGGTGCCATGTACCTTATTAACATTACTAACAAGCTACCGAATCCCCTTGGTGGGCCACAAGCACCTTACATTTGCATAGTCCCACCTAGTAGTCTGGGGGAGCCACAAAGACTATGGCTAGAATGGCCATACCAAGTAATTCGTGTACACCACAGTGGCACAGTGGTTAAGTGCTTGGAGCCCAGAGGCTCCATGAGAGAAAGACTTGGCAATCTGTTTCTGTAACTCTATGGAGCAGTGCTACTCTGTCACATGGGGTTGCTATGAGTTGGGATGGATTCAGTTGCAACCAACAACAACATAAAGGCAATTGTAACATAGAAATGCTTATAATATGCAAAAAGAACAATGTACAAAATCACATATATAAAGTACAGTTGTAGCTATGTGAACAACATGAGTAGAGAAAGAAAGGAAAGTATTCATTGGTTGTGTTAAAGTGCTGGGATTATGCTTTATTTGATCTATTTTCCAATGTAAAAATTGCTTTACATTAATGATAGAAAAATTTAACAGAAAAGCTATATGCTCACAAAACGAAAAAGGAAAAATTCTTTGTTACAGATGGCCTTCTCCTATCAGAAATACCATGTCTCCCTGTTCTGTTTGTTTCTGTTGTAGTTTTCAAAGGCCCTGGGTGAGTTGAGGATGATGTTGAACCTCTCTTTGTAAGGATTGTTTCTTTTTCCTCCCTCTCCTTTTGCTCCTTGGCTTATGCAGTGGTAATTCTCTTCTCCTGCCCTTTGTGCAGAGCCCGCCCACTTTTGGGTTCCTCTTGGACATCGATGGCGTGCTGGTGCGGGGCCACAGGGTGATCCCCGCTGCTCTGGAAGCATTCCACAGGCTGTTGAACTCCCAAGGACAGTTGCGGGTGCCTGTAGTCTTTGTCACAAATGCTGGGAACATCTTACAAGATGGCAAAGCCCAGGAGCTGTCATCCCTCTTTGGGTTCAAGGTAAGGAGGTACCCAGAGACGTGAGAGCCCAAGGACTTTGCTCCCATGGGAATCCCCCTTTCTCCTCTAAGTCCCCTTCCCCTGGTTGGGGTGCACTATTGATGAGACCTAGATCCTGGCCAGTTGATCAGTGCAAATCTTTCAACCCTTCTGGAAAAGCAACTTTAAGTTCAATCCCAGCCCCATGAATAGAGCCCCATCAGTAGGTCATTATGTAAAATAATTTTACATATGTGGGAGAGCTCAAAAATCCTGCCCATGTATTTGACAGTTTTATTTTACGGTATCCATTTCTCCTGGGCGTCGGGAGTGTCTCTTTTGCGTTGTCAGCTCCTGGAAAGCAATGGTCATGTTTGTCTAAATCTCTACATACCAGGTGGGACTTGAAGTAACACACCTTGTTCGTATACATAAGATGTACATGTTTGAATGAACGATGTCCTCTAAAAGTAGTCCCACATTCCAACATTTACATGTCTTTTTAAGGGTAGATTTAGTTTTTGGGAAGGAGTCCTTTAGAACTAAGAGGTTATAAGGTGGCTGATTGGATGATACTGTTTCAGTATTAATGCAACATGCAAAGGAAGAAAACTGGTTCCTCTCTGTGGTTTCCAGAGAGGGTTCCAAAAACATTCTGAGAAAAGGCTGCATTGTTAGAGTTAGTTTAAATGTTAAAGTATTTAAATAGAACTGAAAACACAAAGTAAAACTGAAAGGTAGATTTCTATGACAGTGACCAAAAACATGCACAAAACCCTGTGTTTTCAGACGGCATATTGAGAAGTCCGGGGTTAGAGAGCTGAGCAAGCAGGATTGGTCAGAACCTACATCTGAAGCCATTTCCTGTTGTCTTGTTTTATCTGGCAAGAACCAAATTAGAGAGGTTTTCCTCTCACCTGTTTGGTGCCAGAAAGGGCTTTGTCTTTTTTTTTTCTTTTCCTTTCTAGGTGAGAGAACCTGCCACCTGTGTCCACATTATTGTCCCTCAATGGTTGTTTTCCTCTGCTCTCCTCTGTCTCTTGACTGTCCCTACAGGTGGATCCTGACCAAGTTATTCTCTCTCACAGCCCCATGAAGCTATTCTCACAATTCCACAGCAAGCGGATGCTGGTGTCTGGGCAGGGACCCCTAGTGGAAAATGCCCAGGTGTATCCTTTTGGTCTTTCTTGCTCTGCCTGAAGAGGAAGGTGCAGGACTGGAGCCTTTCATCGCATGACTAAATGAGTGGGGCCATAGTGAGGAGAGGTGCTGGGTGCAGAGGGCCAGGGGCTCAGGGAATACGTGGTAGGCTCTCGGGAGGGAGAGAGGGCAGTTCCCAGAGGTTGTCAAACCTATAACGGGTGGTTTCCAAAATCCATACATCAGAATCTTCTGGGAACTTTGAAAATACAGATTCCTGGGCCTTACCCTGGAGAGTCTTGATGAACGAGTATAGGTCAAAACTGTAATCTATATTTAAAAACAAACATACAACAAAAAACACCTCTCCAGGTGATTCTGATGAAACTAGGCTTAGGGACCATGACTCTAGACATCTTCATTAGGGTGATCAGTCAGCTTACCAGCCAGTATTAACTAAGCATCTGTAGTGAACTCATCTTTTTTAAGCATGTGCATACATAAGAAGAACAAGACTCACTTGGTCCCAGTTTTTAAGCAGTTTATTCATCTGTTCGTTTCAGCAAACCTGTGCTGAGCACATCTTGTACACTAGCACTGTGTTGCATGCTGGTAAAGGGGAGGTGCCCTAAGGTAAGGGCTCAGTCATACTTGAGGAAACAAGAATAACACACCTAGGAACAATCAAGGAATATAGAAGATAGCATATGACTGAAGGCTGAAAAGAGCAGTGTAGGTTCTAAGTATCACAGGTGTTCTGAGGAATATCCTAGGAAGGAATTTTCTGTGGCTTCATGGAAAGGTACAACTGGGACACAGGAGATGGTTGAAGTTTTACAGGCAGGAGAAATTGCATTTATATAGATAATAGGCTGGAAAGAAAAAGGTTGGGGAGGAACCTAGAGACTTGGAGCAGGAGGTTGGAATGGGGTAGGATGAGGAATAAGAACAGGAATGGTGGTACCAAGGGGTGGGGAGCCTTGGAAATAAATCCAAAGAACGTGAAATGCCTTCTGAGAGCTGGGGAGTCAGTTCGGGTTTTGTAGTTGGGGGGGGGTTGATCTGATGGAAGCATCATTTTGGGGAGATTCCTTTTTTTGTGTGTATATGATTTGGGTGAAAGATTACAGAGCAAATTCACTTTCCATACAGCAGCTCACATATACTTTGTCTCATGACATTGACTACAATTTACCACAATGCACAGTTCCCCTCCCACTTCCTCCCCATAGTTACCTCTTCACTGTGTCCTTTCCTCCATGCATTCCTGCGCCCTGAGCTGTCTCCCTGTGCATACACAGCCCTTCTATTCTCCCATGATTGTTGTCTCCAAGGAGCATATCTACCTAATGTAAATGTTCAGCTCCTATGCCTGTCTTTTGTTTGGCTGGAAGCCACAGGTGTGGGTTCAAATCCAGACCTGAAGGGCAGCTAGGGACCATAGTCTCAGTGGTTCCACCAGGCTCTATCAGACCAACAAACCTGGTCCTTTCCCTCCCCCCCACCAAATGATTTTGAGTTTTGTTCCACATTGTTCTCCCACTCTATCCAGGATCTCCTACATAGATCCCCTGCTGAGTGGTTGACAGTGGTAGCCAGGTACCATCTAGTTCTTCTGGTCTCATAGTCGTATAGGCTAAGGATTGCATGACGTACCAGTCGCTTGGACTATTTGTTTCCATGAATCTTTGGTTTTCTTCATTCTTCTTTGCTCTGAATGAGGAGAGACCCATCATTGCATCTAGATGGCTGTTTGCAAGCTTCTAAGATCCCAGTCGCTACTCACCAAAGTAGGATGTGGAACAATGTTTTGTATAGTATGTTATACCAGTTGAGCTTGATGTCCCCTGTGACTATGATGCCAAGCCCACAGGTTCAACTACTCGTTCCCTCTGGGTAGCTGGCTGCGGTCAGGAAGTGACTACAGTCTTGTCCCTTGTCAGCTCTACTATACACCTGGAATTCTTACAGAACATAGCAATACACTTGTAGAAACATTGTCTGTCAATGCTATACATGGTCTTGGGCACACTCCCCCCTGCATAGACATACCTAATAGTTCAGCCTGTCCACCCATATATCCATTGGGGAGATTCCTTTTGAGAGTGATCTAAAGCTGTGCTCTGTTATGATTGTAAATTGGATTTGAGGATGGAACAGTAGAGGCAGGTCTTGGGGGAGATAAGACTGGACCTGGCTTGCCCCTCCACAAGGCATCCCTTCCTTGCTGAATTGTATACATTGTTCAAGATTCAGCTCAAGTGAACCCTCCCCAGGACTCTTGCCTCACTACTTGGCTTCCTGGGGAATCTGCTCTTCTAAACTCCCACACTTAGTGGCAGTGCTGCTCATAGGGCACTTATTTGATGGGCTCTCAGCAGGTGTAAATTCTTGAGGTGTGAGAGGTTCTGGTAGCCTTTGTGTCCCTGGTAGTGCCTAGCATAGGATGTGGCACCTGCAAATGTTTGGTGGCTGCTGTTGGAGTGCCCTGGAGTCACTCGTCTCCACATGGTGTGCCTGACCTTTAGGATTTGTGTCATCTTCACTGGGCTCTGTTTGGGCCCTGATGGTTGCCTCCTGCCTGGGGTTGGGTGGCCTGGTTTGATCAGGACTAGGTCAGTCTAGTTCCTCTCACTTGTGATTTGATTCACACATTCAGAAAAGCGTCTGCCCCCAGAGCTGTCCTGCTTTGCTTCCCTAATCTTGCTGTAGACTGGGCTTCCAGAATGTGGTTACTATGGACGAGCTGCGGACAGCTTTCCCTGTGCTTGATATGGTTGATCTTGAGCGGCGGCCAAAGACCACGGTAATAAGGGGCACAGGTTGGGTCATGCCACCCTTTTGCATCACTCCTGGGCTTCTGTGTTCAGTTCTGCCCTCCTGGTCCCTCCATTGGCTCCGCTTGCTGATCTTGCAGTCCCTCCCGCTCAGAGCTGCCTTTTGTCTGTACTTCTGCAGGGATGCCTTCCTAGAGAGACACATCTGGCCTGGGAGTTTGCTCCCGTAATATGTAAGAATGACCCAGAGGAGCAACAAGCTCCTACACCTATTCCTTTCTGTGTGGTTTGTAATTAGCTAAGAACCCCTTCCTGAGCCTCAGCATCTCTTCCCATTGTATGTTGTGTGCTGTCAAGTTGATTTTCAACTCATAGAGACCCCATGTGACAGAGTAGAACTGCCCCACAGGGTTTCCTAGGCTGTAATCATTATGGGAGCAGATTGTTAGGTCTTTTCTCCAGGAGCCACTTGTGGGTTCAAACTGTCAACCTTTTTCAACCTTTTGGTTAGCAGCCGAGCACTTTAACTATTGTACCATCAGAGCTGCTTCTCTTTTCATCAAGAGTCTTATATTTTACCAGCTGGCTTTTCCAGTGCTGCTTGGGAGAATCATTGACCTTTGTTAAGATAATAATCACTGTTGCTACATTATCCTGAAGCATGCTACAAAGAGTTGTGCTTAGGAGTGACTACAGGAGAAGCAGCTTGTTTGTAAAAGTAACAATGGCAATTCTGAGTATCTGCTCTTGTGCTTTTTGAGTTTTGCTAGCATTTGAAATCCCCGGTTTGATTTCTTGTCTCTTCAGACAGTAGCCACAAAGCCTCTCAGTGAGCCTTAGTTTTGCACCTTCTAGAGGATCTCTTGGGAGCTCTCGTAGCATAGTGCCTAAAGCACATGACTGCTAACCAGAAGTCTGGCGGTTCAAACCCACCAGCCGTTCCTTGGAAGGAAGGTTGGACAATCTACTTCCGTAGCGATACTAGCTTGGAAACCCAAGGAGGGGTCGCTATGAGTCAGTCTGACTCGACAGCATACAACAACAACAACAGAGGATCTCTTTGAGGTACCCCTTGGCCCTTCTCTCCCTCATGTGAACTTTATAGATATCACATAGCCTATATTTTAAATCAAAATAAAATTGGATAAAATGCAGATACAAACAGATGAGCTTTATTTATTTATTAAAGTTCCTCCTCCTCCAGAGCTTTCCTATTAAATCAAGCCCTTCATCCCCTGGGAAATCTTTCTCCTGGAACCATGCAAATTATGTGGAGAATCAGAATATGAAAGTTGGAACAGATCTCAGAGAACCCTGGTTCCCTGAAATGAGGACTGAGCATCACACAAGGGAAGCGTCTCACCCTAGGCCACATAGCTGGTTAGTGGCAGAGCTGAGACTGTAATAACCTGGGGAAGAAGTGAACCCCAAGAAGCTCCTGCCTTCCAAAGTGACATGAAGGAAAATGCTCCATCATGCCCTGGTGGCCTCTTTTTTTCACCATAGGCTCACCTTCATCTTTACCTTCCTGATTCTAGACTCTCGCTTGGCTCATACCTTACATCCTGTCCTTGCTGGAGGATGGCTGACCAGCCCTTTCTCCTGGCTGAACTTCATATGTGGTATCACTGAGCCTGTTCTGTGACCAGCCTCATCATTCTCTTTTCACCTTTTGCGAATCTTCTTCCTTGGCCCTGTCCAGCTTTTCTTTGGCTTGTGCTAGACCACAAAGGATGGCTTTTGATCTGTGTGGAATGAGTCTTTCCTCCCACCCACCCTCGGGAACTGGGGTGTAGCTCTCTGGAAGTGGAAGGTGACTGTTACATTGATGGGCTCTTCTTTGTTTCTTGGCAGCCCATTCTGAGGAATGACTTTCCAGCCATCGAAGGTAAGTGGGATCTTGTGTGGGTGTGGTGTCTGTTTTTTCTCTCTCCAAGGTCAGGCCAGCAGCCTGTGGAATGGCAAGGGTGGGACTGGGTGGCAGGACATCTGGGCTCTGTCTTGGATCTGCCTTCCTGCCTCTGAGATATTTATTAGCTGTTGATCTATCCTTCCCCATGTTGCTCACCTAAATATTCCAGAAGAATCTAAGCTTTAGAGAATCTTCAAGTGGAAATGTACCTAGCAGTAATCTAGTCCAGTGTTTCTCAGCCCTATTAAATCCAGTTCTCCTGTTGTGTAACAAAAATATTGTAAGGTTCCCTTCACTGTTCTGAAATGAAACTCATAGAAAATAAAACCTTCCTATACACACTTATTAAAGCTTAGTAAAATGTTTACACCTAAACATAGAATCACCATGAATATTATAGCTAAGTACTAGGTGGGACAATCAAATCTTACTAGGATGTGGAACAGTTTTTCATTGTGTAGGACTGTTTTAGGAGCTCTGGTGGTATAGTGCTTAAGGCACCACTACTAACCAGAAGGCTGGTGGTTCAAACCCAACAGCCGTTCTGCAGAAGGAAAATTGGGCATCTGCTTCTGTAGAGAGACCACCTCGGAAACTCAAGGAGGGGTCGCTATGGGTCGAATCCGACTCGACAGCAGTGAGTTTGGTTTTTGGTTTTTTGGAGGACTGTTTTGAGTATCTAGTATCTCCTATCCTCTCCCATAACCCTCACCCACTGTGTCAGTCATTGTGACAGAATATGTCCTTCAATTTTCAACACACCTTCCTAGAGGTCAATACTGCCCCTTTGAGAGCCACTGATTAGTTATAAGCCCACTTCATGGGCTTGTCGTTTGTTGAGTGCTTGCTATGTGTCTAGCACTGGGTTAAGTGCTTTATTTATTTTAGTTCATTTTTAATCCTTTTAACAACACTTTAAGTACATGTTGTTATTATGTGGTGGAAGAAACTGAAGCTTAGAGAGCTCAACATTGCCCACAAAAGATTGTCCACAGTCATACAGGAAAATTGTCAGAACCAGAGTTTGAATTCAGATGCCTGTGACTTCACAGCCCTCCTCACAACCATCAGGTTGCACTGGCCCCTGGACTCAGAGAGAAGTGTGTGGGGTGGGGTAGGGGAAGAGCAGCCATCATTAGGAGGAAACAAGTCTAAGACTTGTTGCAGTGGCTTATTTTTTTCAAACCCTTTCTGTGTAGTACCAGTGGACACAAGTTAAAATGGAACTCTCAGGAAGCACCTCTTTGGGCCCTGGGTATTGCTCATGTTGGGTGAATGAGTAAACAGCTCTTTCAGGACTGAGTCAGGGAGCCAGGCCATGCCATGGTGAAGTGCACCATGGGTGAAGACCTTGTGGTTGGAGAGCACTAGCTGGGCTCCTGAAGGCCTTCAGCCAGCCTACCACAGAGATCTGGCGAGTGCCCTGCAACCCTCAACCCCATGCCCTTGCTCTTTAAAGGAGTGCTCCTCCTTGGGGAGCCTGTCCGCTGGGAGACAAGCCTGCAGCTGATCATGGATGTTCTCCTCAGCAATGGGAACCCTGGGACTGGTCTGGCAACAGCCCCCTACCCCCATCTCCCTGTTCTGGCCAGCAACACAGACCTCCTCTGGATGGCTGAAGCCAAGATGCCCAGGTGAGGACCTAGTATCCCTGGCTTGTCCCACTGCTGTCTGGGAAGCCCTGCTGACAGTTCCCACCCACCATTCTGTTACTCAGGGTGGTCAAAGCCCTACCTAGGGAGGCCCTCTGGTTGCCATAGTAACTTGGCCATCTGAGAGAGCTTTCAAGGATCCCTCCACATATTAATTATTAAACTAATGCTACAGATTACTGAGCAAGTACTGGGCTAAAGACTGAGCATGTCTTGAAGTGAAGACACACAAGCCCTGCCTTCCAAAATCATAACAGAACATCTTCTCCTGACTCGTGGAACTCAAAAGATGGTTACTTTCTGAGATGTAGTGATGCAGATTGTTCTGCTGCTCTTCCTTCCTTGCCCCCACCTTGGAGCATTGGTTCTTTCACTTTTTTGTTTCCTTTTATACGTAAGATGTAGGGATGAGGAAAGCAAAGATTATTCTGGTGATTGTTTAGACCAGAGACTGAGACCCAGACTAGAGAAGTGACTCTCAGCAGCATGTAGGTATTGAGAGGGCCCTTACTTCCAGCCCAACTGTGTGGACATCTTCTGCCCTATCCTTTTCTGGGGCTGCACACAGGCATACAGCCCTTTGTTCTGACCCTCAAGGTGCATTACTGGACAACCAGCTGACGGCTGCTGTGTTGTGTTTGACTGCTCTTATCTTCTAGGCCAAAGTCTAGAGTCCTTCTCATTCCTCCATAACTCCCAGCAAGCTGTGCAAGCAGGCAATCAACAGAGGGAGCTCAGGACCCAGTACTGCCTGAAGTCTTGTGGTTCAGCAGCTCCAAAGAGATTGGGGATTATTGTCTCTTTTCACTTTTAAAGTGTATCTTTGTAGCACGAGGTTAGGTATTTTCACTGAAGTTTTGTTTCTAAAGTTAGGGCATGCAGACACTAGGTGAGGGGGGTTTGGTTATGTTGGCAGTGGAATAGCAAGGGGCACATTTCAATTTATAAATCAGATTTGAGATTAATTTTTCACTCAATAATTTAAAAGTTGAAAATAGCATTTGTAAAGTAAATGACACTGAAATATAACTTTACTATATATAGTACAGTCAGGATTTGGGTTAGGTACAGGGGAAGAGAAAACAAAAGTGTCTTAAATAAGATAGAAGTTTATTTCTTTCTCAGGTAAAAGAAGTCAGAGATAGGCAGTTCGGGGCTTGTGTGAGGTTCCAGCATGTTAGGCTTATGCAATCCTTACCCCTTCACTACATAGTCCAAAATAGCTGCCAAAATCCAGCCATCATGTCAGCATTCCAGGAAGCAGGGAGTAGGGAGGGTAGAGAAGGCAAGCCTAACACTTCTGCTTTCATTGGGTATTTGACTGTAGCGCAGTCACATGGCCATACTTAGCTGTAAGGGAGGCAAGTGAACACACATTTTCATGCCTAGTGGCAGCGTGCTCAGCTGAAAATTGGTCCTGAGAAAGGAGAATGGCAAGCATAGTCTGCCACAATCTAAAGCAGAATTTAAGCTTAAGTTTTTGGAGCCAGATTGCCTGAGTTGGAATCCTGGCTTTACCACCTTGACCTATTTACTTACTTTCTCTATGCCTCAGTTGTAAAACGAGGATACTAATAACTACCTCGTAGGGTTTTTCTGAGAGTTAATTGTGATTTGCTGTCTCTGGTGCTAGACTAGTAAGCAGTTCTAGTACTGGTAACTATTCAATAAATGTTAGTTCTTCTTGTGAAGAAGATCCATTTACCACCAGGGTCCTGGAGTAAAAAGATGAGTATGCACTGGTTACAGTAGGTGGGTGGCTTGGAAGAGCCTGGGGAAGAGAGAGACTGAGCTGCTAGGCTGTCTTCTCTGGCAGGTTTGGCCATGGCACCTTCCTCCTGTGCCTGGAGACTATTTATCAGAAAGTCACAGGCAAAGAGCTGAGATATGAGGGCCTGATGGGCAAACCCAGCATCCTTACTTACCAGTATGCAGAGGACTTGATTCGACTGCAGGTGGAGAGGCGGGGCTGGGTGGCCCCCATCCAGAAACTCTATGCTGTAGGGTAAGCTTCACTCATCTACTCCATCCCTTTCATAACTTCCTTTTCCCTTCCCCCCGATCTACTCTCACTCTTCCCTTCCCAATAACCCGTTCACACCTCACCCCCAAAGTCATTGTCTGCTCTCTGTCTCGTAACACTGAACTTTGGTTTTCTCTTCTCTTCTATTCCGGTATGGCTGCCCTGCTAGTGATAACCCTATGTCTGACGTCTATGGTGCCAACATGTTCCACCAGTACCTGCAGATGGCAAAGCGTGAAGGGACAGCAGAGCTAGGAGCTGGTGGTCTGAAGAAGCAGCGGCCATCGGCAACACAGAGCTGCACTTCCATCCTCGTGTGCACTGGCGTGTACAGTCCCAAGGACCCGGAGCCCATGGAGCCTGCCCAGAGAGGAGAGGAGCCTCCATTCCACGGGCACCGGGACTTCAACTTCAGTCCAGGGCTTATGGAGGCGTCCCACATTGTGAACGATGTGAACGAGGCTGTGCAGCTGGTTTTCCGCAAGGAGGGTTGGGCTTTATAGTGAGGGCTGTGCAGTGGAGGTAAGGGGAGCCTGGAGCCAGCACTGACTCCTCTGCTGGCTTCTCACATCAGGGCCTGGCTCCCTTGCCCCTTTCTCCCTGCTGCTCCACAGGGGTCATGTTACTGGTCACTTGGAAGAAGACCGTGGCTTTTTTCCTGCTAAGCAGTAGCCAGAAAAAGGTACCCTGAGTGGCATTTTGGGTAGAATGACCAGGATTTCCGGAACCCAGTTCCTCTTCTGCCTCTCTTGGCAGTCTGACCTCAGGACAGTCCGTTCACCTCTGTGCCTCAGTTTCCTTCCCATTTCAGTAGGGACTTACTGAAAAAAGGTGAGATGGTGTGGAATGATGTATTAGTTTCTTCAGGGCTTCTGCCCTCATTGAAGGAACCACTGCATGCCAGCAAGGTTTGTAGCCAACACTCTGAAACTGCTTTGTACTGTATTTTCATTTACTGCCCAGAGATTTTGGGCTTATTTTTTAAACTTAAAATAATCATAATAAATATTCGTTACGCTGTCTCTTAATATGCTTTATCTGGATAGACTGCTGATTCCATGAGGGAGAGGTAGGTAGATGGTGAGTGGCATGAGTGACCTCGAGGCAGAGAGATTTGTGGCATTTCACTCCCACGAGGTGCTGATGTCTTTTCTTATCTCTGCTCCTCTTCTTCCCACACCCAGTCTGGGCTGTGAAGCCAAATCTATCTAGGAATGACTTACACCCAGGCTTTGGCATACTCAGCGACTGTTATGGAGAAGAAAGGGGATCTCATTTTTTATCTTGTTCTAAAGGAGGGAGTTTTTCTGTAGTGATTCTAGAACCTGTGTGTTTGTTCCTGTCAGCCTTGGTCTAGGTGTAATCCAATTCCAGTTTTTCATTTGTCTGTGTAACCCATGACCTCAGTTATCACCAAGTCCCTGGTAAGTCCTTGTCCTCATCTTAGTTGCATTTGACACAAACTCCCTTCCCTCCGTCTTAAAACACTCTTCACTTTGCTGCCTGTGACTGACTTCTTGACACCTGTTTTTGGATGCCTAGTAGTTTAGAGGTGAGGGAACAAAGGAGCTGGAGAAAAGAATGGCCAGTGAAATAGGAGCCCTGAGAGCTGGTGTCTTGGAAGCTGAGTGAAGGAGGAAGTGATGAACTGTGTTTCTTTGGAGATAGGGCTGCCTCATGAGGTGGTGATCATGCACAAGGAGAGACCCAGTCCTTGGGACTCTTGTTATCTCCACTCACTCTGAGAATCAGAACTTACATGTCCCAAACCAGACACACTCCAGTCCTACTTCTCCAGCATCCCTAGGACAATTGGTTTCTTCTGCAGTCTTCCCCAACTTAGGGAATAGTCACCCCTTCCTCCTTATTTCCTAGGCCAAAGGCTTAGAGTCATCTGTGTCTTCTCTATTCCTCTCGTATCCTACATCTTGTCCATCAGCAAATCCTGTCAGCTTTGCCTTCAGAACATAACCAGAGTGTGACCGCTCTCCACCCCTTTACCACCATCAACCAGGCCTAGGCTACTAGCATCTCTCACCTGGATTGTTGTAGTAGCCTCATCTGTGGCTTCCCCTTCTTTCTCCCCCATTGTTCTTCACTCATTGGCCTATAAGTCAGATCACATCTTTCCTCTGATCAAACATTCCTGTGCCTCCACCATCTTGTAGTGAAAGCCAAAATTCCTTGCTTCAGCACAAAGACCTCAGTATACTCAGACCTCACCTATCAATTTCCTGGTATATTGTACCAGTCATACTGGTCACCTGGGGGTTCCTTGACATGCCATATACACTTCTGTATGGGGTCGCTATGCTTACACTTCCTGCTGCCTCACTCCCAATATCCACATGGGCTCATTTCATAGCTTCTTAAGAGGCCCATGAAATGTCACCTTAGATTTTTCCTCAACTTCTGCAAAAAATAGCACTCACCACCTCCCTTATAGAGTCCCTGAGCAGTGCAAATGGTTAACACTTGACTGCTAACCAGTAGGTTAGAGATCTGAGTCCACCCAGAGTGGCCTCTGAAGAAAGTCCTGGTGAACTGCTTGTGACAAATGAGCCATAGAAAACTATGAAGCATAGTTTACTGTGACACAAATGAAGTTGCCATGAATTGGAGTTGACTCCATGGTAACTAGGAGCTGGTAGCATAGTGCCTAAGGCACTTGACTGCTAACCAGAAGGCTGGCAGTTCAAACCCATCAGCCACTCCTCGGAAGGAAGGTTGGGCAATCCTACTTCTGTAGTGATACTGCCTCGGAAATCCAAGGAGGGGTCGCTATGAGTCGGGGCCGACTCGACGGCAAATAACAACAACAACAACAACAACCATGGTAACTGATAATCCTCCTTATTCTGCTTTATTTTTTTTCCATAGTCCTTATAACCCAATGACCTATATTTACATGCTTATTATATGTTTTCTAGTATATGATCAGCTTCATGGACTTTGTCCATAGTGATTGATTGACTCTTGTACCCCACCCCTGCATCTACATGCCTGACACTTGGTGCAATTCAGTAACTGTTTGTTGAATAATATTTTCTGCTTACGTCACATGTCCTCCTAGAGGGTCCTTAGAAACCAACACAGGTTTTTGTTCTTTTTCCTCCTTAGGTGGTATAACCCAAAACTCACTGTGCCATCAAGTTAATTCTGACTCATAGCAACCCCCTTTGGGTTTCTGAGGCAGTAAATCTTTACAGAAGTAGATTGTTCAGTCTTCCTTTGCAGAGTGGCTGGTGGGTTTGAACAGCCAGCCTTCTGGTTAGCAGTCAAATGCCTTAGGCACATGCCACCAGAGTTCCTTTTTTAGGTGGTATGGCAAAAGTGAAAAGACTGTGGGCCTGGGAATTGACAGACCTGGAATGAATTTTAGCTCTGTCACTAGCTATATGGACTTAGGCAACTTCCTTCACTTGTCTGAGCTTCAGTTTTCTCATCTGTAGAATTGGTATTTACAATGTCGACTTAATAAGGTTATATGAGAAATAAATGAGCTATTGAAAGTACAGTACCAGGTCATCAAGATTACATTCAGCTGCTTGTAACAAATCTGACAACTCTGGTGTGACAAATTAGTTTCGTAAGCAACAGAAGTTTGGAAGTGGGAGCATCAGGACTGGGGAGGCGGTTCAAAGATGTCATCAAGGGCTCAGGTGCTTGCCCCACCGTCCTTAGCATGTGTATGCTTTCCTCAGGGTTATAAGATGGCAGTTATACTTCCAAGCATCTCGTCCACATTCCAAGGAGGAAGGAGCTAAGAGCAAAGCAAGGGCAGCTTGACTCCCTTTAAAGAGCTTTCCCAGGTGTCCCACCTGTGTCTTCCAGTTGTATCTGGTTGATCACAACTGGGTCATATGGGCACCACTAGTTACAAGGAGGCAGGAATTGAGGGCATTGTACCAGGGCACATGGCTTCTCCAAACAACTCTGGGGTTCTGTTTGTAAGGAAGGATAGTATAGTGGATATCGGGCAGGCAGGTAGCTGCACCAAATGCAGTGCCTGGTTCCCAGGAGGTATGACTCACTATGACTGTTTAAGTGCTCTGAGGAAATAGGTAAAACCCTGGCCTCCCGAAGCTCCTTGTCTAACAGCCCAGTGCCTGGGCTGGACTGGATAATAGTTTTTCTAGCTTATATTTGTATAGCAGTTGAAAAGTTTCAAAATATTTTAAAGTAGATTTCTGTGGTCCAGTGAGGATTGCTTGTTATGGCCCTGGCCATGGTCTTTGTGACTCCCACCAGATGACTGGGTGGGACTATGCAAATGTGAGGTGCTTATGGACCACCAAGGGGATTGGATAGCTTGCTAATAATGTAAGTAAAGTGTATGGGACCCTGACTTGGGGACTGGTGAGTTTTGCCATCCTGCTAGGCTTAAAATGAGCCATTCCAGTGGTGGAGAAGGAGAACCTCACTACCATCAAGAAAGAAAAGCCAGGAATGGAGCACAGATCTCTGTCCTGAACTTCCTCAATCCAGGAGACAGAGCTGGGACATCAGAGACAGAAGTAGCAGCAGAGAAAACGTGGCAGTAGAGGCAGCAGAACAAAGACATGGCACGAGACAGAGCATTGGGTTTTCCAGTCCACAGAGTGAGAAAGCTGAGAGCTGTCAGGCAGGAAGTTTGCTGGCAGAGTGGAATGTCTTTCTGGGCATCTATCGGCAGAGCTTTGTAACATCTACCCAAGCAGGGCACAGGCCAAGGAGCCTCTGGCACAGATGAGAAGAGACTGTCCTGATGGAAGAACTGTATCTGGAGTTATTTGTGATCCTGAATTATAACCTGTTCCTTCTCTAATAATCATGAATATTGTCTGTGAGTTCTTTGTGGCCATTGGAAAAAATTATTGAGCAGAGTAGAGTATGTTCGGGAAGGGACAGCTGGTGTCAGAACTGGCAAGGCGGTTAGAGGATGGCAGCATAACTGACCTCCACTTCATAGGAAACAGCCTTGGGCTGTTGACTTTGACTTCCTCCCCAACTTGTGAAGTTACAGGAAGTCAGATGATGCCCCCATGCTCTTTTTACAACTCCAGTCACTCCTACTTTGTTAGAGCCTCACAAAACCTCTAATGAAGAGAGGCAATTCTTATCTATCCTGTTTTTTAAAATGAAAGGACCAAGGCAGAGAACATTCTTTCATTTCAAAAATATTAAATGTCTGCTGTGTACCGAGCACCATTCTAGGCACCAGAGCAGTGAACAGTCGTCGGCAACACTCACTCTTAGAGTTCACCTTTTAGTGTTGATTTGCCTAAAGTCACAGTTAGTAAATGAAAGGACTGGGCCTAGAATTTGGTCTCCTCAAGCCACTGCAGCAAATATCCTCCCCACCCTCTGTTCTTCCTCCAGCCATTACCTTATGCCCTGGAATACCTGCCATTGTGGATACAGCCAAGATGAGCTCTCCTAGGCCCAAATAGGTCAAGCTTACCAAAGGGAATGAGCTAGGAAATAAAGCCAACTATAGCTACGCCTCGGAAGGAAGGTTGGG